AATACACATTGGTGAAATAATGTGAGTTTGGCACTGATAGAAATTTTAGGCTACTTTGTAGAAGAAAAATGTTCGCCCCCCCACTACTAACTTTTACGTCACACAACGTCAAAGGTATGTGCCTTTTTTCACGTCACGCTGTGCGTCACGTTATTGTTTACATGAGATGAATTGCAGAATGGCAGATAGAGACAAAATGTTACTGTTAATCTGACTATCTACAGTTTTACACTCTACACACGCAGTTACTGTCCCCCAATTTAGAAAGGCAGAGGCGCATAATTATTTTATGTGTAGTTGTTTTTTTCCTGTGTAATAATATTCAACATTGCTGTCAATACATTTCTCAAAAAATGTCTCTGTGTGCAAAATGGATTCAAAAACATAAACAACTGTAGGATACTGTTAGTCCGTAATTTCGAGAGCACAGAGCATGCTCCCGACGAAAGGGAAATTAATTCTGTAGCAGAGACCTACCTGGCACTTGTGCAGGTGAAGCCAAAGGGAAGATAAGCTTCACCATATTTACTAGCATTTGGCTCGGAAAGAAGTTGGTTTGGAAACATATTTGGCGATGCTTCATCTCCAGCTTTGCGTTTGTGTGGGAGCCCCGTCAAAAACCTGTCAATGATGCTTGCAGTGTCCAAGGGTTCTTTTTTTCTCTTTCTTTTCATATCGCCCCCCCGCAATGGCTCTGCGCCCCCCCAGAGGTTCACTTTGGGAACCTCTGGTTTAAGGAAACTTTCGAACCAGACCTCTTTCAATTTTAACTGAATACCCTTGCTCTGACTGTTTGCAAAGATCACACAGCAGCTCAGCTACAGTGACGTAAATAATCACATCATCCTGCTACTGATTCTGCACTTCTGGATCTCCTGAAAGTATTAGTGTATTGCTCATTCAACTTTAGGGTCGCATTCATAGACCCAAAAACAAAAAATATAGTGCATGTATGTATATGTATCAATTGTGTTGCTGTTAATATTGGAAGCAGGCTGACAGTCTATTTATTCATTCAAGTATAACAGTGTGAAGTACTGGAAACCGCGATCATCTCTTAATATGATGTCGTCTAATCTATTTCTGGTTTTA